AAAAATTGTGTTTTTCTAGGGTGTCAGACGACACGTTAGGCACTTCTATATATATTGTGTATATTTCTATAGGGTTTCAAACGTGACGTTTGGCAGTTTTCTCGTTTATATAGCACCAATGGGTGTCAAGAACGTGGGCAAGAGCACGCAAAAGGTGCACATAGCCAGTAGCTAGCACCCAGCGCCAGTAGCAGCCAACAGCCAGTAGCCAGCAGCCTACCCAAAATCTAGCTTTTTCTAGGATTTCAGACGACACGTTAGGCACTTTTTTGGCGTGGTTCTGGCACTCGCTCGTCCTTCAGAGCCCTGGTGTTTTCCCCCGGGAGGTGATTTTTTCGAAACTGTTTTACTGCTAGCAGCCTCCAGCAGCAGAATCTGTCGAAAAATTGTGTTTTTCTAGGATGTCAGACGACACGTTAGGCACTTCTATATATCTTTCTTGTATATATTTCTATATGGTTTCAGACGTCACGTTTGGCAATTTTCTCATTTATACGGCACCAATGGGTGTCAAGAACATCGGCAAGAGCACGCAAAAGGGCAGCAGCAGCAGCAGCAGCAGCAGTTGTTTCTTGCTTTGGAAGCTCTTTGATTGCAGCAGCACGACAGCAGCACCACAGCAGCAGCAGCTACCAGCAGCAGCACCAGCAGCAGGCAGCAGGCCGCCGCAGGCAGCAGCAGGCATCAGTAGGCAGCAGCAGACACAAGCAGACGCAGCAGCAGTAAGCGCAACGGCAGCAGCAAGATTCTATTTTAATTTTATTTTATAGCAGCAACAGCAACAGCAACAGCAACAGCAACAACAACAACAACAACATTCTTGCAGCCATGGAACCAAAAACACAAAGCTGCAGCAGCAGCAGCAGCAGCAGTTGTTTCTGGCTTTGGAAGCTGTTTGATTGCAGCAGCACGACAGCAGCACCACAGCAGCAGCAGCCACCAGCAGCAGCACCAGCAGCAGGCAGCAGGAGTTTCGAAAAGGGTGTCTGGCTGTTTGTTTCTTGCTTTGGAGGCTGTTTGATTGCAGCAGCACCACAGCAGCAGCAGCAGCCACCAGCAGCAGCACCAGCAGCAGGCAGCAGCAAGGAGCAGCAGGCCAGGTAGCAGCAGGCAGCAGCAGGCAGCAGCAGGCAGCAGCAGACACCAGCAGAGGCAGCAGCAGGCAGCAGCAAGCAGCAGCAGGCAGCGGCAGGCAGCGGCAAAGTTGCAATTTTATAGTAGGGTTTCAGAAGTGACGTTAGGCCCAATTTTGGGGTTCCTTTGCTACGTTTTGGGCACGAAATTAGGTGGTGTTTTGCTGTTTCGGATGTGTTTCGAAAAGGGTGTCTGGCTGTTTGTTTCTTGCTTTGGAGGCTGTTTGATTGCAGCAGCACCACAGCAGCACCACAGCAGCAACCAGCAGCAGCACCAGCAGCAGGCGGCAGCAAGGAGCAGCAGGCAGGCAGCAGCAGGCAGCAGCAGGTAGCAGCAGGCAGCAGCAGGCAGCAGCAGGCAGCAGCAGGCAGCAGCAGGCAGCAGCAGGCAGCAGCAGGCAGCAGCAGGCAGGCAGCCGCAGGCAGCCGCAGGCAGCTGCAGGCAGCAGCAGGTAGCAGCAGGCAGCAGCAGACACCAGCAGAGGCAGCAGCAGGCAGCGGCACAGCAGACACCAGCAGAGGCAGCAGCAGGCAGCAGCAAGCAGCAGCAGGCAGCGGCAGGCAGCGGCAGGCAGCGGCAGGCAGCGGCAAAGTTGCAATTTTATAGTAGGGTTTCAGAAGTGACGTTAGGCCCTTTTTTGGGGTTCCTTTGCTACGTTTTGGGCACGAAATTAGGTGGTGTTTTGCTGTTTCGGATGTGTTTCGAAAAGGGGGTCTGGCTGTTTGTTTCTTGCTTTGGAGGCTGTTTGATTGCAGCAGCACCACAGCAGCAGCAGCAGCCACCAGCAGCAGCACCAGCAGCAGGCAGCAGCAAGGAGCAGCAGGCAGGCAGCAGCAGGCAGCAGCAGGTAGCAGCAGGCAGCAGCAGGCAGCAGCAGGCAGGCAGCCGCAGGCAGCCGCAGGCAGCTGCAGGCAGCAGCAGGTAGCAGCAGGCAGCAGCAGACACCAGCAGAGGCAGCAGCAGGCAGCGGCAGGCAGCGGCAGGCAGCGGCAAAGTTACAATTTTATATAGTAGGGTTTCAGAAGTGACGTTAGGCCCTTTTTTGGGGTTCCTTTGCTACGTTTTGGGCACGAAATTAGATGGTGTTTTGCTGTTTCGGATGTGTTTCGAAAAGGGTGTCTGGCTGTTTGTTTCTTGCTTTGGAGGCTGTTTGATTGCAGCAGCACCACAGCAGCAGCAGCAGCCACCATCAGCAGCACCAGCAGCAGGCAGCAGCAAGGAGCAGCAGGCAGGCAGCAGCAGACAGCAGCAGGTAGCAGCAGGCAGCAGCAGGCAGCAGCAGGCAGCAGCAGGCAGCAGCAGACACCAGCAGAGGCAGCAGCAGGCAGCAGCAGGCAGCGGCAGGCAGCGGCAGGCAGTGGCAAATTTGCAATTTTAAGTAGGGTTTCAAAAGTGACGTTAGGCCCTTTTTTGGGGTTCCTTTGCTACGTTTTGGGGGCTGTTTGATTGCAGCAGCACCACCGCAGCACCACAGCAGCAGCAGCAGCAGCAGCAGCAGCCAGCAGCAGCACCAGTAGCAGGCAGCAGCAGGGAGCAGCAGGCAGGCAGCCGCAGGCAGCCGCAGGCAGCTGCAGGCAGCTGCAGGCAGCAGCAGGCAGCAGCAGACACCAGCAGAGGCAGCAGCAGACACCAGCAGAGGCAGCAGCAGGCAGCAGCAGACACCAGCAGACACCAGCAGAGGCAGCAGCAGGCAGCAGCAAGCAGCAGCAGGCAGCGGCAGGCAGCGGCAAAGTTGCAATTTTATAGTAGGGTTTCAGAAGTGACGTTAGGCCCTTTTTTGGGATTCCTTTGCTACGTTTTGGGCACGAAATTAGGTGGTGTTTTGCTGTTTCGGATGTGTTTCGAAAAGGGTGTCTGGCTGTTTGTTTCTTGCTTTGGAGGCTGTCTGATTGCAGCAGCACCACAGCAGCAGCAGCCACCAGCAGCAGCACCAGCAGCAGGCAGCAGCAGGGAGCAGCAGCAAGGAGCAGCAGGCAGGCAGCAGGTAGCAGCAGGCAGCAGCAGGCAGCAGCAGACACCAGCAGAGGCAGCAGCAGGCAGCAGCAGGCAGCGGCAAAGTTGCAATTTTAAGTAGGGTTTCAGAAGTGACGTTAGGCCCTTTTTTGGGGTTCCTTTGCTACGTTTTGGGCACGAAATTAGGTGGTGTTATGCTGTTTCGGATGTGTTTCGAAAAGGGTGTCTGGCTGTTTGTTTCTTGCTTTCGAGGCTGTTTGATTGCAGCAGCACCACAGCAGCACCACAGCAGCAGCAGCAGCAGCCACCAGCAGCAGCACCAGCAGCAGGCAGCAGCAGGGAGCAGCAGGCAGGCAGCCGCAGGCAGCCGCAGGCAGCCGCAGGCAGCTGCAGGCAGCAGCAGGCAGCAGCAGGCAGCAGCAGACACCAGCAGAGGCAGCAGCAGGCAGCGGCACAGCAGACACCAGCAGAGGCAGCAGCAGGCAGCAGCAGGCAGCAGCAAGCAGCGGCAGGCAG